CTTTTTTTGATAATACTGTACATGGACCCAACTGTAGACGATAATGGGCGCCCCAGCTAAATCTATAGGGTGGTCAGGTTCAGTGACTTGGTCCATTGTGGGTCTCCCTGACAGCATGGGGTGTTGGGTCCTGAAATACATTAGAAATTGGCGTGACAGAATTGGTAAAACCAAAGTAACTATTGAACATTTCTCTTACAGAGGTTTGGCACGGCCTTGACACCCGATGGACAATTGAATCTGAAAAATAACACATTTGCTCGTGACTTCCGCCCTATAGACTCGCATTGTCCCTGTTCCACATGCAAGACGTACACCCGGGCCTACCTCAACACTGTAGTTACCACGGAGACGGTGGCCTGTCAGCTCCTGACTGTACACAATGTAGCCTACCAGGTACGTAACTAGATCCAGGTTAGAATGGGTCTTCAGCTACACATGCTTGTCGTGAGAGGCGACTATGCTTGTCGTAAGAGGTAACTCACAGGATTGACTTGGTTGATGCATGATATCATATCCTAATTGCGTAGGTCCATGATCAAGATATCAATCACTGGGGTGTCTGGTCCAGACTCAACTATTTACAAACCACTGTCATATAGCTGGAATATTGCTGAAGGCGGCGTTAAATAACAAACAAACAAACAAACAAACAAACAAAATAGATTGGTGCAGCCTCAGCAGGACATCAGTCAATTCATATGATTCAGGGGTCACACTGATGCTGGCTGTGTAGAGTTGTCTCCCTTTGATGCTAGGATTAACAAATTGTGGATTCAGAGCACAGATTTCCCCTGATAATAATCCTTCATCTTATCAGCACCATACCAGTGTGCATGGGTTTCATCATCTTCCCGAGGCAAGAGAGTTAACTGACTATAAAAGTCCAGTTTCCACCCTTGCCGAACTAGGCTGGAATTACTGGGCTCGATCGTAGCGCCACCAGTGGCTATTACCAGTTATCTCTCTTCTAAGCCTCTCCTATGGACCAATCAGATTACACCTCTCGTATCACTTGCGTTTGCTTCCCACAAAATGGTGGCGCCCGGTCAAGACGATCTGATTGATAATCAAGATCTATATTGGGATAAAACGGGTTTTACATTGCGAAATGCATCAAATCACGTGAGTACCTTGATTAAAAACATGAAAAGATTTGGACGAGTTGGCGGTGCACATGCTTTGCAAATCCTGCAATCGACTGAAATCTGCACGAAAGTTTACGAACTGGATTTCGATTCCGGTGTGCGATTTTGATTGGACTATGCATAGACTCGTTAGTCCAGCCAAAATGTAACTCCATAATACCAGCCTAGTTCGGCAAGGGTGGAAACTGGACTTTTATAGTCAGTTAACTCCCTTGCCTCGGGAAGATGGGGTTTCATCAAAGTGGTAAATGTCTATGACCTGCATAATTTTGGGCTTTCACAGCTGAAGCCGAGATACCATGCTTTGAAATACTGTTGAGCATGACAAACTTATTCATCATAGCAAAGGCGTATATGTGGATACTCTCCGTCAGTACAACAAACATAAATGGAAATTATCAAAAATCATAATTTCTGAAAAAATTGGTTCAGTAGATTTTCTTGAAATTGTGATTAAAACCCAGGACATTTACGGAAGACTTCATTAAATATTTCAATGTAACCCAAAATATCATGATATTCGCAAGTGAAAATCTTGAAATATATTTCATACGATACGAATTCACATGAACTTTAAACATAGATAGTTCTTTCATCTGACCAAAGCATCTAAGGACTTTCTTAATCCTCCGCTTCACAAATTGATGCATAAATAGGACATAATTTACAATTTCGTTGACTGCGTGTTCACCATCTTGGTTTTAAAGTTGGCGCCACGACATATGACTGGCTATTAGGGCTGGGACAGGTAACTCGGGTCGGGTGGGTCCTGTGTAGGACCTGGGTACCCACAGGACTACCTGGACCCGTGGTTAGTCACATGATATATTGTTTAGTGACAAAAACTCACAAAAGCTCAGTGGTTACACTACAAGTTGCTAATGTTCGCATTTCTCTCTGACGACCACACATTCCTTTTGTGCCACATGCACTTGTATATGTTTGAGTAACGATAAAGCTTCAGTCAACTTCAGTGTACGCATGATCTGAATGTTTGATACATGTGTCTAAAGAATTTTGGCCAGGGCTACGGTAAAACAATTCCCAATCAGACATTTTGTTCCCAACTCTTGAGCCCTGTAGTGGGTACCAGGGTAGGGTCGGGTAATAGAGGGTCAGGTACCTGGGTAGGGTCGGATAATAGGGGGTCAGGTACCAGGGTAGGGTCGGGTAATAGGGGGTCGGGTACCCAGGTAGTAAATGTTTAGCGCGCCACAGCCAGCCATGAACCCCTGCTTCACTTCAGTGAAGACAATCAGAGCAGACTGCTTATCCTATCTTAACGTCTATCTAAACTATCCTAAACGTCTTTGATCATAGGTAGTAAAGCCCTAAGACCTAAGAAAAGTCATCTTGATAACAAACGATGAGGTATGATAGGGCCTAGCAATTGCAAGTTATAAATAACAGAAATCAATGAAATATTTTGACAGCCTTCTGTGTTCCTGCAGGTGTGAGATCAGGGCCGTAATTTAAAGCCAAATAATGTATCACATATTACTGTCTTATTTGTGTGTCTTAGGAAAACCCTATATCAAAAGCTGTTTCTTATGGCCAGCCTTGATTAAGTCATCCAGCCGTACAAAATATATTTAGCATATTTAGAGGTGAGAAGTGACAATGATAAAACAGTGTCTGATGTCATTCAAGAAAAGCCAATATTGTTAATGTGTGTGGAAAAAAGAAATTACAGAAGACATTGCCTCTCTACCTGATTTTGTAATTAATAGCATGTGAATGTGTGACCAAGTATTAATGCTAGAAACGGCTGTATTCCCGTGTGTTCACCATGTCCTAAAGCTGACACACGCAAGTTTTCCTCACCATCCCGACTATCAATAAAACTTGTGTAGTAGGCTGACCCGACATGAGTTATACTTGCACTTCTTCTAACACTGATACATTTATATGACAGGTCTACATGTTGTGTACTAAATTTGACACAGATAGTTCTCCGTGAACTCTATGTATTTCTGTTACATGTCTTTGACCATGTACATATTGTTTCCACATCACGTTGATATTTCTTCCAGCTGATGTTAATGAAAGGGATCCGAGAAAGCATCATAGAAGATAAATTTCCAGAATTCATCAAGGAGTTTTTTCGCCAGTACTTCCCCAAGGGAGACTACCCTGCATGGACAGTGGAGGCACTGGCCAAAGTAAATGTCAGCTTATCTTGACCAGAAGTTGTGTATCTCGTATCCAGTTATAAATATATATATGTGAACCAACTTACTTGTTTGTGTTGTCTGTCAGAAGAGGTTTTTACCATAAAACAAGATGGGTCGATCATTTCATAGTATTTATTCAACAAAGGTAAAACCTGACAATACTGTGCAGTTGCAAAAACCTCCTAGTTACAGGGTTGATGTACACCAAGCACTTTCCAATAATGTAATCATTCATGGTTTACACTGACTCTAAGCCACAAAGATTATGAAAGGTGTTCTGAGTGTATATTTTAAAACTAGCTCTTCATATATAAAAATAGAAGCCAAAACCTTAGAATTTACATGTCGAAAATAAATGATTGCATAAGCATGATGTATGCAGTATATAAAAAGATTAAGCATAAACCAGATGCAGATAAGACATGAGCAGAGTATTATCATAATTTTCAGACATGACATATATGTATTGCCAAAACACTGCAATAGAGATGTAAATATATGAAACATTTCCTGTAGAAGATATACAAAAATGGCTTGGGACCTTTGGCACTTGTTTGTAGATATGTGACAGTGGTATCAAGGCAGTGCTGCTCTACTATAGGACACATTCCCATCCTTTTACTGGTCACTTGACTGTGTTTCAACTGTGATGGAATGGTTCACAAGATGACTGGGGACTCCTTTAGGTGTTGAATGACAAGAGTTGAAACTCATGATTCACATGCTACAGAAGACCAACTACTCATGGGACACAAGTGATTAAGATTTTCTTTGAGAGTTAGAAATATATGGCCACATTTACAAATAACACACTTCACTTCTGATAATTCTGAATGTTGAAAATTAATTAGGTTCATGAAATTATATATATCAGGCAACTATTAAACTATATCAACGGTTGCAATCAACTATTAAAGTGGAATGTTTACACAAAACATTGTGAATAATTTATTTTAAAATAAATGGGTGTTTTTGAAATGTCATTCACACACTGTATTTGGAGAGGTGATATTTGCTATTTGTAACCTCTGCCATGAATTGAAAACATCCATCAATGTATATACAAATAGTACATTTACTTTTTTGGTTAAAAATTTCTTTTACCAAAAGAAACAGATAATAAGTATGAAAACTTCAATAGTTTAATACCTTTCTACATCATTTGTGATTTACATTTACTTTTATTTGCTATTTACCACAGGGAATTGGGATTTGAAGAATTTTAACTGAAATGTATTTTAATGAGACTTTTGAAACTTTTTTTTGGTTTCAACTAAATATATAAGGGTGTATTTACAGTGATACAAGATGCTACACAAAAATCATTAACAACACAATAAGTACCTTGAGGTACTGATGTACTGTCACCGCCATGAAGTTTAACGTTTGCCTTCACCAAGATCTCAGATACCCCTGAGGCTCAGGTGTGTTGCCAACACCATGATGTTAAACAGATAGCCTTAAGGCACTGGTGTGTTGCCAACACCATGATGTTTAACAGATACCCTTGAGGCACGGGTGTGTTGCCAACACCATGATGTTAAACAGATAGCCTTAAGGCACTGGTGTGTTGCCAACACCATGATGTTAAACAGATAGCCTTGAGGCACTGGTGTGTTGCCAACACCATGATGTTTAACAGATAGCCTTGAGGCACGGGTGTTGCCAACACCATGATGTTTAACAGATACCCTTGAAGGCACGGGTGTTGCCAACACCATGATGTTTAACAGATAGCCTTGAGGCACTGGTGTGTTGCCAACACCATGATGTTTAACAGATACCCTTGAGGCACGGGTGTGTTGCCAACACCATGATGTTTTACTTATACCCTCGAGGCTCAGGTGTGTTGCCAACACCATGATGTTAAACAGATAGCCTTGAGGCACTGGTGTGTTGCCAACACCATGATGTTAAACAGATAGCCTTGAGGCACTGGTGTGTTGCCAACACCATGATGTGTTACTTATACCCTCGAGGCACTGGTGTGTTGCCAACACCATGATGTTAAACAGATAGCCTTGAGGCACTGGTGTGTTGCCAACACCATGATGTTTAACAGATAGCCTTGAGGCACGGGTGTTGCCGCCAACACCATGATGTTTAACAGATAGCCTTGAGGCACGGGTGTTGCCGCCAACACCATGATGTTAAACAGATAGCCTTGAGGCACGGGTGTGTTGCCAACACCATGATGTTAAACAGATAGCCTTGAGGCACTGGTGTGTTGCCAACACCATGATGTTAAACAGATAGCCTTGAGGCACAGGTGTTGCCGCCAACACCATGATGTTAAACAGATAGCCTTGAGGCACGGGTGTGTTGCCAACACCATGATGTTAAACAGATAGCCTTGAGGCTCTGGTGTGTTGCCAACACCATGATGTTAAACAGATAGCCTTGAGGCACTGGTGTGTTGCCAACACCATGATGTTTAACAGATAGCCTTGAGGCACGGGTGTGTTGCCAACACCATGATGTTTAACAGATAGCCTTGAGGCACGGGTGTGTTGCCAACACCATGATGTTTAACAGATAGCCTTGAGGCACGGGTGTGTTGCCAACACCATGATGTTTTACTTATACCCTTGAGGCTCTGGTGGTGTGCCAACACCATGATGTTTAACAGATAGCCTTGAGGCACTGGTGTGTTGCCAACACCATGATGTTTAACAGATAGCCTTGAGGCACGGGTGTGTTGCCAACACCATGATGTTAAACAGATAGCCTTGAGGCACGGGTGTTGCCAACACCATGATGTTTTACTTATACCCTTGAGGCACTGGTGTGTTGCCAACACCATGATGTTTAACAGATAGCCTTGAGGCACGGGTGTTGCCGCCAACACCATGATGTTTAACAGATACCCTTGAGGCATGGGTGTGTTGCCAACACCATGATGTTTTACTTATACCTTTGAGGCACTGGTGTGTTGCCAACACCATGATGTTTAACAGATACCCTCGAGGCACTGGTGTGTTGCCAACACCATGATGTTTAACAGATAGTCTTGAGGCACTGGTGTGTTGCCAACACCATGATGTTTAACAGATAGCCTTGAGGCTCTGGTGTGTTGCCAACACCATGATGTCAAACAGATAGCCTTGAGGCTCTGGTGTGTTGCCAACACCATGATGTTAAACAGATACCCTTGAGGCACGGGTGTGTTGCCAACACCATGATGTTTTACTTATACCCTTGAGGCACTGGTGTGTTGCCAACACCATGATGTTTAACAGATACCCTTGAGGCACGGGTGTGTTGCCAACACCATGATGTTTAACAGATAGCCTTGAGGCACGGGTGTGTTGCCAACACCATGATGTTTAACAGATAGCCTTGAGGCACTGGTGTGTTGCCAACACCATGATGTTTAACAGATACCCTTGAGGCACGGGTGTGTTGCCAACACCATGATGTTTTACTTATACCTTTGAGGCACTGGTGTGTTGCCAACACCATGATGTTAAACAGATAGCCTTGAGGCACTGGTGTGTTGCCAACACCATGATGTTTAACAGATACCCTCGAGGCACTGGTGTGTTGCCAACACCATGATGTTAAACTGATACCCTCGAGGCACTAGTGTGTTGCCAACACCATGATGTTTTACTTATATCCTCGAGGCACTGGTGTGTTGCCAACACCATGATGTTTAACAGATAGCCTTGAGGCACTGGTGTTGCCAACACCATGATGTTTAACAGATAGCCTTGAGGCACTGGTGTGTTGCCAACACCATGATGTTAAACAGATAGCCTTGAGGCACTGGTGTGTTGCCAACACCATGATGTTAAACAGATACCCTTGAGGCACTGGTGTGTTGCCAACACCATGATGTTTAACAGATAGCCTTGAGGCACTGGTGTGTTGCCAACACCATGATGTTTAACAGATACCCTCGAGGCACTGGTGTGTTGCCAACACCATGATGTTTAACAGATACCCTTGAGGCACTGGTGTGTTGCCAACACCATGATGTTAAACAGATACCCTTGAGGCACTGGTGTGTTGCCAACACCATGATGTTTTACTTATACCCTTGAGGCACTGGTGTGTTGCCAACACCATGATGTTAAACAGATAGCCTTGAGGCACTGGTGTGTTGCCAACACCATGATGTTAAACAGATAGCCTTGAGGCACTGGTGTGTTGCCAACACCATGATGTTAAACAGATAGCCTTGAGGCACTGGTGTGTTGCCAACACCATGATGTTAAACAGATAGCCTTGAGGCACTGGTGTGTTGCCAACACCATGATGTTTAACAGATAGCCTTGAGGCACGGGTGTTGCCAACACCATGATGTTTAACAGATACCCTTGAGGCACGGGTGTGTTGCCAACACCATGATGTTAAACAGATAGCCTTGAGGCACTGGTGTGTTGCCAACACCATGATGTTAAACAGATAGCCTTGAGGCACTGGTGTGTTGCCAACACCATGATGTTAAACAGATAGCCTTGAGGCACTGGTGTGTTGCCAACCCCATGATGTTAAACAGATAGCCTTGAGGCACTGGTGTGTTGCCAACACCATGATGTTTAACAGATAGCCTTGAGGCACGGGTGTTGCCAACACCATGATGTTTAACAGATACCCTTGAGGCACGGGTGTGTTGCCAACACCATGATGTTTTACTTATACCCTTGAGGCACTGGTGTGTTGCCAACACCATGATGTTTAACAGATAGCCTTGAGGCACGGGTGTTGCCGCCAACACCATGATGTGTTACTTATACCTTTGAGGCACGGGTGTGTTGCCAACACCATGATGTTTAACAGATAGCCTTGAGGCACTGGTGTGTTGCCAACACCATGATGTTAAACAGATAGCCTTGAGGCTCTGGTGTGTTGCCAACACCATGATGTTTAACAGATAGCCTTGAGGCACTGGTGTGTTGCCAACACCATGATGTTAAACAGATAGCCTTGAGGCACTGGTGTGTTGCCAACACCATGATGTTAAACAGATAGCCTTGAGGCACTGGTGTGTTGCCAACACCATGATGTTAAACAGATAGCCTTGAGGCACGGGTGTGTTGCCAACACCATGATATTAAACAGATAGCCTTGAGGCACGGGTGTGTTGCCAACACCATGATGTTTTACTTATACATTGAGGCTCTGGTGGTGTGCCAACACCATGATGTTAAACAGATAGCCTTGAGGCACTGGTGGTGTGCCAACACCATGATGTTTAACAGATAGCCTTGAGGCTCTGGTGGTGTGCCAACACCATGATGTTTAACAGATAGCCTTGAGGCACTGGTGGTGTGCCAACACCATGATGTTTAACAGATAGCCTTGAGGCTCTGGTGGTGTGCCAACACCATGATGTTTAACAGATACCCTTGAGGCTCTGGTGGTGTGCGAACACCATGATGTTTAACAGATACCCTTGAGGCTCTGGTGGTGTGCCAACACCATGATGTTTAACAGATACCCTTGAGGCTCTGGTGGTGTGCCAACACCATGATGTTTAACAGATACCCTCGAGGCACTGGTGGTGTGCCAACACCATGATGTTTAACAGATACCCTTGAGGCTCTAGTGGTTTGGCAAGTCCAGCACTATCTCAGCTATAATGACGTAGCCAGCAGTGTGGAACCTTGAACAGACAAACCATGATGAAGAGCTGTGGTCTGCCAGCCAAGTACAAGCCACACACAGCAGCCATTATTGTCATCAGGAACACATTGTTGTCACACCTTGAGCATGGGAACGAGGTACCAGTTTACTCATGAAGGTGATTGTGAGCATCTTGGCCTCCAGTAGTGTTTGATACTACTGATGCGAGGGACATGGACAGTGGTACAGATGACACACAGGCCTTGTCTCTGGTTATCTACTTTCGTGGAACGATAGATGAAATTTTGCTATCAGATATCGGAATCAAATATGCACAGAAAAGGCCAACTGTAATAATGGGTAGATGGCTATTTCAGAAGGCCACACAATGACCCATGAGGCACTGATATTAAATAAATCTAAGGAATGTTCAGCCATGAGATAAACGATACATTATATATGTCATTTAGTGTAAACAATAATAAGATCAATATTAATGTGTTGTCAAAATTTGAAATGAAAAATTAAGAATGAAATAATAAAATTTCAAATGAAGTAAACATGAAAGTTACCAATTTAGAAATTTGGAACGGCCAGACAGCAGACAGACCAACTCCCTAACACTCCAATGTCTGACGTGACTGCACCGGAAGTGTTCTCCCTGAAGGCCCCCCTGACTGCCTGCCTCCATCCATTCTTCATCAGTTCTCCATCCAATACATCGCCTGGGGCAATATTTCAACCATAATACGACGACCTGCATTGAGTGGGTTCACGCCCGGGATCAGGTCAGGTGCAGGCAAATTGCAGCTGGCAGTGTGTGTCAATCCATGCTTATGGGGTATGAATCCACACTAGAGCAGCCAGGCAACAGCAAAGTTGGTCTTCCTTGGGCTCACCATCCAAGTACTATCCAAACTTAAAGCTGCTTCATTTTGTGTGTAAAGCTTACAGCATTGCTGTCAATACCACCTGATCCATTTTCAAATTTAGAAATTATGTTGACATTATCTTAAATCCAAATGGGCTAAATTTGTTCCTTCCACCCAGTGTAGCCTGGCGCTGAGGGAAGTACTTATCACCTCTACACTACCACCTGCTCAGTGTGCTTCAGTGTGAGGCTGAGCTCAACTGGTTCTACATTAAACACTTTACTTGTTTCTGTAACATTAAGTCTGAAGAGGCATGATGAAGAGACAAAATCACTGATGGTACATTTACGCATTTGTGTGACCAAACTCATTAACCAAAAATAGTGCATGGACGGGTAAGGTTAGAATGATTATTAAACTTGCACAAATTGTCCAGTCTAAATAGTGTACATGATGATTACTTGCTAGAACCTAGGGGTATATCATCAGAGGTTTTACTGATGACAGACAACACACATGGTGTGATGACTGGTGGATGTTCAACTGAGCTGATGTACTGATGGTAATGTAGAAGTGAGGATCCAATCGGGGGGATGGACAAACTGATGAATGAATGGATGACACAGGTTTTGGAAGAAGAACTGAGACATTTATGTCTCATAGCAGTCAGTGCCTCACAGATGAATAGACTGCTGAAACAAAAACAAACCCAAACGTTACAACATGGGTCATCCTACAGATGACAGCCTAACCACATCAGCTTGTCAACATGGTTCAACCACTTCAGACTACAGAATTACCAGTGCCTCAAGACAGATGGAAGCACCATGATGTTGATATTGTCCTGACCAGTGCCTCAAGACAGACGGAAGCACCATGATGCTGATATTGTCCGACCAGTGCCTCCAGACAGACGGAAGCACTATGATGTTGATATTGTCCTGACCAGTGCCTCAAGACAGACGGAAGCACCATGATGGTGATATTGTCCTGACCAGTACCTCAAGACAGACGGAAGCACCATGATGTTGATGTTGTCCAGACCAGCGCCTCCAGACAGACGGAAGCACAATGATATTGATATTGTCCTGACCAGTGCCTCAAGACAGACGGAAGCACCATGATGTTGATATTGTCCTGACTAGTGCCTTAAGACAGACGGAAGCACCATGATGTTGATATTGTCCTGACTAGTGCCTTAAGACAGACGGAAGCATTATGATGTTGATATTGTCCTGACCAGAACCTCAAGACAGACGGAAGCACCATGATGTTGATATTGTCCTGACTAGTGCCTCAAGACAGACGGAAGCACCATGATGGTGATATTGTCCTGACCAGTACCTCAAGACAGACGGAAGCACCATGATGTTGATGTTGTCCTGACCAGCGCCTCCAGACAGACGGAAGCACAATGATGTTGATATTGTCCTGACCAGCGCCTCCAGACAGACGGAAGCACCATGATGTTGATATTGTCCTGACCAGTGCCTCAAGACAGACGGAAGCACCATGATGTTGATATTGTCCTGACTAGTGCCTTAAGACAGACGGAAGCACCATGATGGTGATATTGTCCTGACCAGTACCTCAAGACAGACGGAAGCACCATGATGGTGATATTGTCCTGACCAGTACCTCAAGAGAGACGGAAGCACCATGATGTTGATATTGTCCTGACCAGCGCCTCCAGACAGACTGAAGCACCATGATGTTGATATTGTCCTGACTAGTGCCTCAAGACAGCTGGAAGCACCATAATGTTGATATTGTCCTGACTAGCGCCTCAAGACAGACGGAAGCACCATGATGTTGATATTGTCTTGACTAGTGCCTCAAGACAGACGGAAGCACTATGATGTTGATATTGTCCTGACCAGCGCCTCAATACAGATGGAAGCACCATGATGTTGATATTGTCCTGACCAGTGCCTCAAGACAGACGGAAGCACCATGATGTTGATATTGTCCTGACCAGTGCCTCAATACAGACGGAAGCACCATGATGTTAATATTGTCCTGACCAGCGCCTCAATACAGACGGAAGCACCATGATGGTGATATTATCCTGACCAGCGCTTCAATACAGAAGGAAGCACCATGATGTTGATATTGTCCTGACTAGTGCCTCAATATAGACAGATGACATTGTATGTACTTATATTGCGCGAAAATCCTTCTCACATACTTTCATCAATTAGAAAACTGCCAGTACGAATGTCATATACATATTCAGGTAATTATGAATTACTTTCCAATCCCAGTTCCTTGTATAATTTATAACATATGTAGCTTGATTGAACATTTCATGGCCTTAGTTATGACAGCTGATTTAAATAATTTCACATTATTATAACATTTACAGCACTCAAAATTCTTCATTGATTTATATTGCATGAATTCCAGTGAAGGAAGCTGATGTTATCTCCTCCCTAACTGACTGATTCTGTGAACACTCTCGTTCCTGTATCATTGCTTCATATTATAAAGTGTGTCACTTGTGCCCCATTGAAATCCTTCAGGCATATGTTAACACATTTGTATCGTTTGAAAAAGGCCCTCATACTAAATAACTTTCACTTGTCAATATTGGATACACATTCCCGAGGTGTTTGCAGCATGGTGTCTTGCTGGATGCTGTCCAATGACCGCCTCTGTTGTGTATGTTCCTATATACTCAAAGCAGCCTTATGTACGACTCAGTGTTTAGGGGGGGTTCGTGAGTTAAAACAGCATACTGTACTTTGTATATTGTTTCCAATTCCTAAACATCTTAGTAAAACATATCATAAAACATCACAAGTATCAGTATCAGTTTAGATAGCCTCAAAAAGCAAGGCAAAATGTCATAAAAATATAACCAAATCTGAAGATTGAATACCTCAAAAAAGGCTAAAATATCATAATTGTCAAATAAAACAGCATACAAATTTTACATTTATCAAATTCACTGCTTCACTTATAATTGTATTAAAAGATATCTTACCCTTTACGTTGATCTATACGTTGCTCGTAATTTTTTCCTGAGAAATTAGCTACCCCTTGTAACATTTAACCCCAAATTTTGTCAGGTAGCATTAAATATCATTTCAACTTTGAAGACCTAAACAGACACACTTTAACTGGAAAATGTTGCCAAATGTTATATGTGAAATATTAGTACACCTAAACTGCCAAAAGAACTAAAGTAGTATTTTCGAAATACTTGTGTTGTGTCTTCATAAGTTGTCTAGCAATCATCTGTGGCGCCCCTTCTCTTGCGTTTCCTGATGTGAGGAAGGTAGGGCAGTGCGGCGGGGCTCGGTGACCTCATGTCATCTGCTGCGTAGTCCTGGGCCATGAGGCGAGGTGTGAGGAGGCGTGGAGATCTCCTCGGGATCTGTGGCAGGTTGAGAGCAGGAACCTCAGACAGGTTGAGGCGTGGCATGGTGGTAGAGTCTGTGCTGTCGGATCCCCCTGTTGCAATAAGGGCAGGTTAGGATCAGTGTTAAAATGCTAGTTTTTTATACCGAAAACTTAAATGTATGTATACACCGTCATGTCCATATGGGTAAAATTGGGTTCAGCTTCTTAGACACTTTGCATGGTTTGAGTAGATTTGTTTCAATTAATCCTCCAACTTTCTGCATCTTGAGCTCATGTTAAGGGTAAACTGATGCCATTGTTCCTACAGTGACTGTGCTTTCTTCTTAAGAAATTCCACACCTGACCAAGAGGTCATTCTGTCTGACCACCCAATCCAGTAATGTCACCTCATACAACAAACATCGGTTACTTGCAACCAGTTCTAACCAGGACTCCCCACATGTTCTGAAGTCTATGCATCCCAAAAATTGCCATTTCCAAGTACAAAGCTACCACTAAACTTACCAATGGGGAAAATCTCCTCTGAGCTGACGTCTGAGAGTGGGTCCTCCATGCCCTCCCCGGGGGAGCGAGCAAATGGGGTGTAGATCCTCTGTCCGTGGATTGCTAGATGCGGGGCATCTGGGGAGTGATGGCTGCTTACAGACTCCCCTTGGGGGCTGACTCTCTCATTCCCACCTACAACAGCCATAGATGGACTCACTCATAGGTCAAGCATGCAAGCAGCTTTGGGAATGTCAGACTTAACAGGGTTTAATGGCACATTTGATTTGCAAGATGACACTTACATATTGTTTTCAAGCGTTTACACATTCAAAGTTTTGCTTTGCTTGCTTGTAATAAAGCCGGTGGTATTTACTCGGATTGTCAACAGAGTTGTCATGGAAGGTGAGACATGTTAGGCACAGTCAGAAACATTACAGTTAAACATGTGACAGTCAGAAACATTACAGTTAAACATGTGACAGTCAGAAACATTACAGTCAAACATGTGACAGTCAGAAACATTAGTCAAACATGTGACAGTCAGAAACATTACAGTTAAACATGTGCCAGTCAGAAACATTACAGTCAAACATGTGACAGTCAGAAACATTACAGTCAAACATGTGACAGTCAGAAACATTACAGTTAAACATGTGACAGTCAGAAACATTACAGTCAAACATGTGACAGTCAGAAACATTACAGTCAAACATGTGACAGTCAGAAACATTACACTTAAACATGTGACAGTCAGAAACATTACAGTCAAACATGTGACAGTCAGAAACATTACAGTCAAACATGTGACAGTCAGAAACATTACAGTTAAACATGTGACAGTCAGAAACATTACAGTCAAACAAGTCACAGTCAGACACATCAGTCAAACATGTGACAGTCAGAAACATCAATGTCAAACATGTGAGTCAGAAACATCACAGTCAAACATGTGACAGTCAGAAACATCACAGTAACATCACAGTCAAATATGTCCTAGTCAGAAACATCATAGTCAAACGTGTCACGGTCAGAAATGTCCCAGTCAGACAATATTTCAGCTATATGAAGGCGATCTATAAATAGTCAAGTCTGGACCAAGCAATCCAGTGATTGACATCAAAAGCATTGATCTACACAATTGTGATATAATTACATGCATCAACCAAGTCAATGGGCCTGACCATACGACCCTGTTAGTCTCTTACAACATGCATGGGTTGCTGAAGACCAGTTCTGCTGGTAAGCTTCATCACACCAAACAACTCACAGTGTGTCAAGCGAGACATCTGCTGCCTCCGGAGCAGACGAACGTGTCTTCGTGACAGCCCATCGTTGATGCCTGGCAGAGTCAGGTCCAGCTGGGAGTTGGTTGGTCGTCTGACCAGCATGTCCTTAGGCATCTGTGTGTTGTCAGTGTAAGGCACTGGTTCCCGGCGCCGTAGGGGCTGTGGCAGGTAGTTTCCGCAGTGCACTGATGGGTTGTGGTGAGAACCTGCGACCAACAACATTATTCTTGCAACAACAGCATGACGAGACACACACCAGAGGCAGCCTTATCATGTTCAGTATGCACCAATAACTATTATAATCAAAATACCAATAAATATACTGTAGGGCTAGAGAACCCCGTACACCAAGAGAGACAATTTCTCAAATGATATGTCACAAGTCATGTTTGCGAAAGTTTGAGAACTTCATAACTGTAACAGATGTAAACCCCTTTACCTCTTAACTGTGCTGCAATACCTGTTGGTAATTTGGTACTTTAAGTATTTAGTATGATGATTTGAAATATAATTGCATTACTTACTTACTGTTGGGGATTTAACATGCGCTTTCCGACATAATGTGTATTTCGCACACAGATAAAACTGCATTGACAAGCTATATTAAAGTAGTCAGTCTACATGTATCATGACTTCAGTCAGAAACAGTTGCCTCTTGTCCGATGCCTGGTTTAAGTAAACACAAAACTCAGCTTATAGCAGCTTATATTTTAGCACTGACATCTACTGACAAAAGTGCTATTAACAGTGCTATGATGATAATATGTCTCACCTGTAGCTGGTCTGACACGCCGTCCTAGGTTGTTCTGTCCCTGCACAGTCGCCACCAGGGGGATGTTGAGAATCTGGGGGAGACACATACGACGAGGGTCCCTGGCTTCAGGGTCATAGATTGGGCTTGAGCAGCTTGGGGGCCGAAGTGGGGGTAGCCTTATTTTCCTACCCATTTTAGCTGGAACACATTAACATATCACTTGCAGATGAATAGCCTGGTGAAAGACAGGTGATCTGCCCTGTTGTGAAGACCCGGACTTGTACCATATATAACAGAAAAGACTGGACCCTATGATACATGTTGGATGTTATGGTACATAGTATGAACTGGACCCTATGCTTCACAGCACTAGCTGGATCCAATGGTACACGGAATATGAAGAACCCCATGGTACATGTTGGATGTTATGGTACAAATTATAGGCTGGACCCTATGCTTCACAGTACTGGCTGGATCCAATGGTACACGGAATATGAAGAACCCCATGGTACATGTTGGATGTTATGGTACAAATTATAGGCTGGACCCTATGCTTCACAGTACTGGCTGGATCCAATGGTACACGGAATATGAAGAACCCCATGGTACATGTTGGATGTTATGGTACAAATTATAGGCTGGACCCTATGCTTCACAGTACTGGCTGGATCCAATGGTACACGGAATATGAAGAACCCCATGGTACATGTTGGATGTTATGGTACAAATTATAGGCTGGACCCTATGCTTCACAGTACTGGCTGGATCCAATGGTACACGGAATATGAAGAACCCCATGGTACATGTTGGATGTTATGGTACAAATTATAGGCTGGACCCTATGCTTCACAGTACTGGCTGGATCCAATAGAACATGGAACATGAAGAACCCCATGGTACATGTTGGATGTTATGGTACACAGTATAGGCTGGACCCTATGCTTCACAGTACTGGCTGGATCCAATGGTACATGGAATATGAAGAACCCCATGGTACATGTTGGATGTTACGGTACACAGTGTAGGCTGGATCCAATGGTACATGGAATACGAAGAACCACGTGGTACATGTTGGATGTTATGGTACACAGTATAGGCTGGACCCTATGCCTCACAATACTGAATGGATCCAATGGTACATGGAACATGAAGAACTTTCTGGTACATGTTAAATGTTATGGTACATAGTATGAACTGGACCCTATGCTTCACAGTACTGGCTGGATCCAATGGTACATGGAACATGAAGAACCTTATGGTACATGTTGAATGTTATGGTACAAATTATAGGCTGGACCCTATGCTTCACAGTACTGGCTGGATCCAATGGTACATGGAACATGAAGAACCTTATGGTACATGTTGAATGTTATGGTACAAATTATAGGCTGGACCCTATGCTTCACAGTACTGGCTGGATCCAATGGTACATGGAACATGAAGAACATGTTGGATGTTATGGTACACAGTATAGGCTGGACCCTATGCCTCACAGTACTGGCTGGATCCAATGGAACATGGAACATGAAGAACCTTATGGTACATGTTGGATGTTATGGTACACAGTATAGGCTGGATCCAATGGTACATGGAATATGAAGAACCTTATGGTACATGTTGGATGTTGGTACACAGTATAGGCTGGACCCCATGCCTCACAGTACTGGCTGGATCCAATGGTACTTGGAACATGAAGAACTTTCTGGTACATGTTGGATGTTATGGTACACAGTATAAACTTGACCCTATGCTTCACAGTACTGGCTGGATCCAAAGGTACACGGAATATGAAGAACTTTCTGGTAGATGTTGGATGTTATGGAACACAGTATAGGCTGGACCCAATACCTCACAGTACTGGATGGATCCAGTGGTACATGGAACATGAAGAACCTTATGGTACATGTTGGATGTTATGGTACACAGTATAGGCTGGATCCAATGGTACATGGAATATGAAGAAATTTCTGGTACATGTTGGATGTTATGGTACAAAGTACTGGCTGGATCCAATGGTACATGGAACATGAAGAACTGTCTGGTACATGTTGGATGTTATGGTACAAAGTACTGGCTGGATCCAATGGTACATGGAACATGAAGAACCTTATGGTACATGTTGGATGTTATGGTACACAGTATAGGCTGGACCCCATGCCTCACAGTACTGGCTGGATCCAATGGTACATGGAATATGAAGAAATTTCTGGTACATGTTGGATGTTATGGTACAAAGTACTGGCTTGATCCAATGGTACATGGAACATGAAGAGCTTTCTGGTACATGTTGGATGTTATGGTACACATAATAGGCTGGACCCTATGCTTCACGGTACTAGCTGGATCCAATGGAACATGGAACATGAAGAACCTTATGGTACATGTTGGATGTTGGTACACAGTATAGGCTGGACCCCATGCCTCACAGTACTGGCTGGATCCAATGGTACATGGAATATGAAGATATTTCTGGTACATGTTGGATGTTATGGTACAAAGTACTGGCTGGATCCAATGGTACATGGAACATGAAGAACTGTCTGGTACATGTTGGATGTTATGGTACAAAGTACTGGCTGGATCCAATGGTACATGGAACATGAAGAACTGTCTGGTACATGTTGGATGTTATGGTACACAGTATAAACTGGACCCCATGCCTCACAGTACTGCCGGATTCAATGGTACATGGAACATGAAGAACAGTTAAATATACATAAATCGTGTGGACCCTTGTATGCTATCAGGACAAAGAGATCCTACAGGACACATTGGTCAATAGAAAATATGGTATGTGTATTTGTGTACAGCTACGAGTTTCTTTGGCTTAACAGAAAAATAGTCACTAAACCTTTTCCCTGGATTTGCCTGCATTGACAGCATCTGAGTACTATATATCTAGTAGTACTTTCTACCCTCAGTAAGATGCTGTCAACCAACCACAGTCTCTGTTGCTTACTCTGCCGCTGTTTGTAAGCTACAAGCATACAGGACGATTAAGCCACACACTTGTCGAGGTGTTGGCTTACGTAATTATGCTGACAAATCAGTAACGAAACAATTAGATCTATGACGGCAATGTTAAAACACAGAGATCAGTGTAAGACAGAATAGTCCAACTGCTGTGTACCCCACCTATCTGTACGGAAAAAGTCAGCGGTCAGCGGTCATGAATATTTGGCATGAATATTTTTGGAATTGAAAACTAAGCACACAATTTCATAAAAACGTCCCGCAAATATCCATGATCCCTAACTTTGTGAATTCAGTTAACAGTATGAAACATTAGGTTAATCCCAATTCACATTCCCGTCTTTGAACTCGCGAATCCTGTGAATAAGACCCGGGATGAGCTCGAGTCCGCAGCCAAGTTGGATGTCAGTAGCGTTGCCTAGAGCCCCGTATCCTTATATCACCTATAATTTGGTTTCTACAGTCTGACAAGCCTACACTGAAAGACTGCAAGCTTACGACGCGGCCTCAATGTACTTACATACGGTTTTGCGATTTTTTCCGCCAGATTAAGTAACTATCTTGGGAAGTAATCACAAACAGTGTCTCCGTGTCGCCATTTGCATGATTATGACGTCATTATTCTGTGACGTCACTGACATGTGTATACTCACGAACATGACGTTTTACGCAAGTTTGAGACCAAGCTGCGAGGCCTTCTCCTACTCAGTTACATGCGGCCAGCAGCTTGCATAGTACTAACACATGAATCAAAATGGTTATTAGATAGCAATGACAGTCACTTTTGTTAACTACTCAATTCCAACACTATATATATATAATCACAGGATCAACAAATTACTGTAGTTGGCGGTGTAGCCTAGCTAGGTCAGCCAGTACGTAAGAGGCAAACAAATCATTTTCTTTCTCTTTGACTGATACTATTGAAAAAAAATCAAGTTCATTGAAATATTCATTTATTAATATACTTCTATTTATCGTTTACCTGTTTAAAGATAAAAGATCACGTGCAGTGCCTTCAATTGGTACACTTTGAAGAGATTTTAGCTTAGTTTTTCTAATTGGTACAACTACTGATAAGGTGAAATGGGGTTTAACGCCGCGTTCAAGATAATTTCACTTATATAGCGACGTGCATGCTCGTGCGTGTATGTGGCTACTTATACTATCCCGGACTAATGCCGATTTTATAGTGCTAGCCCACTGAGTTACCATGCTGTAGTTTAAATTTGCATACCCCACTTGGACACAGTATACTGAGTCCGACCTTACCAGTCATTGTTTTATCCCCTGAAATATCAAGCGCCAGCCAGGGTAACAACAAGTACTATATTTTAACTATGGTACGACGAGTTCCGCTCTCCGGGGAGACGCACTGTGAACTACACTGACAAAGGATGACATCTGATAAAAATAACTATCCTTCTTAACAATTGAATTGTCATCAGAGAGATTAAAATGTTTAATTTGAATCGTATAAATAACATATCAGGAGTGAGTGAATATGGTTTAGCGGCGGGGGACACCAGAAATGGGCTTTACACATTGTACACAATTGGGGAATCGAACCAGGGCCTTCGGCCTGACGAGAGAACGCTTTAACCACTAGGCTACCCTACCGCCCCAAATCGCCAGGAACACATGGAATTTTGAAGCAATATTTGATGTATACTATTGCCCCATTATTTTCTGTCTACCACAAACTGCTTAATATACTGCTTAATAGGTATAGTACACGACGAGTGGCTCCTGGAAATGATTAAAACCGGTGAACAAAAAGGTGACTTGACCCGAGTATATGATGAGCCATGTCGTTATTAGGCTGCCGTTGTTAAATGTTTACCTCTGTACCTGGAGATTAATCATTTGTTATCAGAAATACAAGGTGTATTCGACATGGCAATTTTGTCTTTCATAACATTGTTGTATTATATTCTTAAATTGAATATCTTAAAACCAATAAAATGAAGTTATAGTGTACTATCATAGATTTCCATTACGCCTTGGCGTTGTTAAAAGGAAAATTTATTTCAGTTATACAAAGCGATCTTAGTGCTAAGTGATCTTAAATCCAAGACTTACGACAGTCGTTGTGCTAAGGTTGTTTTGTACAACGCTACCCAGGGCATAAAGTCGCGTGTCATTCTTGTTAATTGAGAAACGCATTTTTGTTTCAGGGACATCGCAGTTAAACAAAGCGGAAAGCTACCGCCGAATCTTTTTGTTTTGTATCTAAATGACCTTGAAGCATATTTGGAACAAAAATGCGAAGAGGTATTAAGGTGTTCGGGAGGATTATTTTATTTGGAATTTGTAGGAAGATCATAGTTTTGTCGTAGCAGGTGATACTATTATTATTTCATATAACGCTCGGAATGTTTTCAATGAATATTGTATTTATTTTGGAAATTACCTATTAATATAGATACAGGTAAGGTTGTAAAATGAGGATCGGGTGATGTGTTTGGCATAGATGATGTTGCTATGAAGTAGTAGAGGAGTACACACACCAGGGTGCCGTCGTACAAGACAACGCTGCGACTGTCGTAAGTCTATGTTAAGGTATGGGAGTAACGATCACATTAAGATCGCTTTGAACAACAGAACCCTGGGCTTGATGACTTAACGTGCTGGGAATGTCCTGGCAGCCATGACGTCATTAGCTGCTAAAGCAAAAAATAAGCCATGTTTTGTTTGTTTGTTGTTAACATTGTTTTCAGCAATATTACAGCTATATGACGGCGGTCTGTAAATAATCTAGTCTGGACCAGACAATCCAGTGATTGACATCATGGGCATCGATAAACGCAATTGGGATACGATGACATATATCTACCAAGTCGGAGAGCTTGACCACCCGATCCCGTTAGTCGCCTTTTACGACAAGCATAGTCGCCTTTTACGGCAAACATGGGTTGCTGAAGACCTATTGTACCCCGGATCTTCAAGGGTCGAAAAGCCATGTATATACTTTACATAGGAACAAGAACGTTGGACAAGATTAACCGGTTATTGTTATTTGACCAAACGATAGCACCAATATTAAGTTATGGTTCCGAAATATGGGTATTTTGTAAATTAGATATGATAGAAAGGATACACACAGATGTTTTTAAACTAGAGTTAAAAAGATTACACCTCATAATATACTGTACGGGAGTTGGGAAGAATTTCAATTACTGGTATAATTTAACAGAGACTTTTGATGTATTGGTAAACACTAATTAATAATAAACCAGCAGAATTGTGTACTGTTATGTATAGTATTATATTATCAGGTTCAAGTAAATATGAACATACCTATCTGCAATTTGTTTAGGTTTAAGCTCTGTGTGGACTCAACTGTTTGTACAAAATAATCATATTTATTAAAGCTGTTGTCAAACAGCGTATCTTGGATCCAGCGAGTCACACATGGACAAGTTTGGTAGAGACTTCTCATGGGGCAGTGTTTTAAAGATTATTTAAACATGAAATAAAATTAGAAAGGTCTTTGTATCTCATTCCTATTATTAGGATGAAATCCGCTAGCAACAGATTACCAATAGAGATTTGGCGATGAGAAAATATATCACGTGAAGATAGACTTTGTAATCATTGTAACATAAATATATTAAGCAGACAATACCACTAATTATCAATTTGTCCCTTTTGGTAATCTACGTAAAGATATATCCACAAAAAAATACTTACAAGGCAAAATGCAATCGAACTAGATCAATTATTAATTACTAATAATCTGCCAGAATTAAGACGACTGGTATGTTTGGTAAAGAAATGTTGAATTAAACAATTTCATTATGAATGTAAAGTGGACTTGAATTTTCTTAAAACCCGCGCACGTCTGTCTAATGTGTGCTACATCATGTAATTCTGCCTATAGTCCTTCATTATCTCATTGTGATGACCTTGGATATTATCGTCTTGTTGTTGTTGTTGTTGTTGTTGTTGTTGTTGTTGCTGCTGATCATTGCTTCCTAACGGTTAATACTTGTAGCTGACACCCGTGAAGATCTGGGTTAGAATAGGTCTTCAGCAACCCATGCTCGCCGTAAGAGGCGACTATGCTTGTAAGAGACGACTAACGAGGTCGGGTTGTCATGTTCGCTGACTTGGTTGATGCATGTCATCGTATCCCTATTGCGCGAATCGATGCTCATGATGCCAATCACTGGATTATCTGGTTCAGACTCGATTATTTACAGACCGCCGTCATATAGCTGGAATATTGCGGAGTGCGGCGTAAAACAACAAACAAATAAACTTGTAGCTGAAGAGGTTTCCACAACCATGGTGGCCTACCTCCCTGAGATAGACACCTTAACAGTGTATAACACGTCGTTCAATGCACAACACAAGGCCTACCTCCCTGAGATAGACACCTTAACAGTATATAACACGTCGTTCAATGCACAACACAAGGCCTACCTCCCTGAGATAGACACCTTAACAGTATATAACACGTCGTTCAATGCACAACACAAGGCCTACCTCCCTGAGATAGACACCTTAACAGTTTATAACACGTCGTTCAATGCACAACACAAGGCATACCTCCCTGAGATAGACACCTTAACAGTATATAAAACGTCGTTCAATGCACAACACAACCCCTGCCTTCATGCTGCCGTGACATTAATACTAATATAGTTTGATTTACATTTAATACATTAAAGCCAGACACGTTGATCAAACATGGATTTGTTACATTGTGTTTCCTATTTCACATTTCTGTCTACTGGGGCGTGTCTCTGGTAAGCTAACCGCTAAGGCACACGTAGAGATATTGGTTGGGGCAGAAACTACACAAACACAACTTTCCGATGGAACACTTGTACATATATTGTAAAGGTGTAGCAACAGAAGTTTGAATATCGCAAATATAATTGTACCGGTAAAATTGCTATCGATAGTTACTGGTTTGTTGCAGAATGAAGAAAACACCGTCAAATGCATTGTTACAAGATAAGAAAAAATCTTGAAGCAATAATCTTTGTCGAATGAAAATAATGAAGTGGTAGAGTGTTTGAAGGGTCATGTTTGGTTTTCTTATCTGGCCTACAGTTGGTCACATTGTCCAGTGAGGTTTCACTCAGTGACCATGCAACCATTTCAACAAACGTAATACCACACTTTACGGACGTAGTCTTACCGAGCACAGACGAGCAGTAACAGGCTCTACAGTAGGCCAACATGACATTATTATATTTCACTTGTATTTGAATGTAAGCCTTCTAAACGGTTCAGCTAAGATGTCTTGTGACAAATGTGATTTTCGGAATTTTTACGATATACTTACCAACGGAATTGCGCTTTTTTCCTTCAGAATCGTGATTATCTCTGGAATAAAGTTCGCACTACGTCTTCTTATCGCGATTAGAGTGTTTATGACGTCATTATTCTGTGACGTCATGAAAACGCGTGTCCTCCTATATATGACGTAGTACGCGAGTTATGTGACAGACTTGTAGTCACCTCTGGAACCAGTGTGTGTGTGTGTGCCGTATGCAGGCTGTTGAATACAGTTGACAAAATAGACAAGAAGAAGCATTTTTTAAAATTAAAAAACAAAAAGGCTTGGGTTGCTTTTATTTTATTATTGTA